TATCCAAACTTTCACCAACTGTTTGAATCCGCCAGATCTGTTTCCATCGTCAGAAACTGTCAATCACGTCTCGTAAACTGTTAATGCCCAGCTCTTGCTACGCTCAGGATCACGCTGTTCCTTGAAGTTTTCAGAAACGCTGAGTATTAACGGACGAAAACCCAAAACACCGATTGGCCACTCGAGAATTCTTTATTGTTACAGCAACATATAAAAATTGTTTCCACTAAGGTCTGTGAACAAATATTACAATAATAAATAAGAAGATTACTTCTGACGGTTTTCTGCTGACTTCTTTCTGAACAGCGACCGATGAGACGATGACTGTCGTATTGATGCCTCCGCGAAAACTGGGGAAGTTGGTTTTGAGCAAACAACCAAGAATTGATCGTTCAATCTTCAACTGCATTGACAACCATATTTTAACGAAAAAACTTAGAAAATTGGTGGAAAGTAGACACTTTCAGCAGTTTGAGTGAACATGTATCTGTCATTGAATTTCGTTATTTCTTTCTATGTGTAATGTTAAATCTCTGTGTAAATTGTTGATTACGTTAAGGAAAACGAAACCAATTGGACAATTGATGCATATTTTGTGAAATTCTGAAAGGGTGTTTTGAATCTCTGAGGTATGAAAACTTGGTAACATTCAGAATAGTCTACAGCTATAAAGGAGTGTTAGTTGATTTATTCGTAAGATAACAGTTAATAAACAAATTTTTTTAAATCGTTACTTTGGTTTGGAGTACTTTCGTGTTGCTAATTGTTTCTTAACGGATGTCATACTATTGTTGATTTGCAGGTCGCAATTGTAATTTACGGAGTGGTTCACTTTATTCGGAGGCTTTAATGAAGTGCAACTGAAGAATTTGCGCGTTATCGTTGGAATCTTTGTGATATTATAAAGTTATTTATCAAAATAAATATCCCTTTAATGTTTTAACGGTGTTCTTTAAAGAATTCACTACTACTTCCCTTTGCTTGTTGAAGGAATAGTGATGTGGCCGTTTTTGGAATGCGTAGTGATTTAATCTGAAAGAGTAATAATTTACGCAGCATAAGAATACTAGGATTTTCTTCAATAGGATATACCTATAACGCGTTATTTTCGTAGCCGCCCTACATTTGTTATTATGTATATGTAGTAATCGCAAACAAACCTAAGCTAAACGTTTATTTTTTCGCAAGTCCTGATGAAAGATAATCTTTTACGCAGCCGTATTGAGTGTAACTGAAACATTTCATGGGAGGCTAGATGACGCACTGAGGAAATAATAACGGTCTACGATTATCACGCATTTCACAGAAGAATTACTACGATGCCTATCAACTTCGTTAACTATGCTATGTCCTCGAAATGATAATTAAGGGAGATACATGTAGTCTACATAAATGCATATATTTACAAAATAAAAACAGTTGAACAGTACATATTCACATTAAAAAGGGTGGAAAAAAAATTACAGTTGCAGATTTTTTATGGGTACATGATTGTCAAATTAAAGTTCACTAGTCGTTTAATCCACAATACGTGGATCAGTTTCCCTTAGATGATTGTGACACTGGACCAGTCTTTACAGCTTTCAGCACCACCTGATCCTTCAGAAGAAACTGGTTATGACCTTTCCATGCAAAGATTGAGATTGTATTCCTTTGACCACTTCCGGCCACATTGAGAAATATCTAAGGATATATACATATCAGATGAATTAATCTTACCTCAGGTGAACAATCTCTAATCTTAGCAACAATGAATATGTGAACAAGGGAGGGAACGATAGTAGAATCGGTATGAACAGTCCATTATCCCATAATAAACTTGAAGAATCCTAAAACTTCCGATTTACCTTTCACACTTTGTCTTCTGCAAAATGCAAATGTTAAACAAATGCCTCTCCTCTCTGTCCGTTACAATCAACTGAAAAAGACTAAATCTTCAAACTTTATACTTCTTTGATTAAGTTACCCAATAATATTCTCTTTTTTAGTGGGTCTACATGCATATCACATCTGTAGAATCTATACATGCGTTAACTTGTGTCCTTAAGCTGAAAAAATGTAATGTTTATGCGACTTATATTACTATCATTTCAAAGCCCGCCTCAGTAACGTGAGCTACGTATTAGCCGCAGCGTTTACGCAAAGTAAAATCTACCAATCACAGTATGCATATGTGACCTTGAGGTGCTCAGCCTCTCCATAAGGTCATGTGTGCCTTTATCCATTGCCAGACATCTTGCTCAAAATGCAGTGGTGAGACCTATAAACACTTTCTCGTACATGAACTTTAGGAATAAGACATCTAATGGGGCCACAAACCTGACCATTGGCGGCGGCATGATCAGAGAGGATAAGGAGGAGGCAGAAACAATGGTACACTATTTCCTTACACAGTGTTGATTGGACAAAGATAACGTGTTCAACTGTCCAAGGAAACTAGAAGTGGAGAAACCAGTGGGTCCTGACAATCTTCATCCAAGTCTTCTCGAGGAGCTAGCTGCCCACAAGGCGTTCTCTACTCAATGTACTGTTACCACGAGACTGGGAACATGACATAGTTACTCACATCAACAAAAGCAGATCAAGGCAATGCTCTTCGAACTACAGGCCTATCGGTCCCACCAGCACCTTAGTCAATATACCGGAATTAATCATCAAGAGAGCATAGCATATCTTGAAAACAACCACTCGTCCTTCGAAGCACAACAAGGCTTCCGAGTAAACACGTTCTGCCTGGTAAACCTTCTGAGTGTTCAAGAGTGGATTTGTTAGGATTCCATTTGTTTCTCGAGTTAGACTATGGGTTGATGCCAGTTACAGAACCATTTCAAGCCAGGGAGTACTGGACAGCTGCTTCATCCTGGTTTAGAACTCGTCGGTAGTGCGCACAGACTGGGTTTCGAACCTAGGACCTTCCAGTGTCTAAGCAGGCTCGAATACCATTCAGCCAATAGGGCCCGACTGAAAGGCCCAAGAATTACAATTTCTACAAATTCTTGGTTTTAGAGCTGCCATCTAGTAATATAACTGATATCATTCCGCGATCAAACTCGAAAAACCCTCTTAGATAAGGAGAAAGCCTTGGTCGGGTCCAGGGACATCAGAAGACCTGTTGACTTCGTCTTCGTAGACTTCAGCAAAGCCTCGGATAAAGAGCCTCACAAAAGAGTAATCATGAACCTGAAAAGATTTGGCATCAAAGGCAGCTTACTAAACTGGATTACAGAATTCCTCATAGGTGAACTACAGAGAGTCAGGATCAGCTCAAAAGTCTCCTCACGGGCAACGTCGCGTAGTGGAGTGCCGCAGTACTAGGGCCCCTCTTGTTTCTAAATCAATAACTTATCCGTTTTCACGGATGCAGATGACTTAAAAATTTGGGGAGAGATGAAGGGAGACAGTGATGCGCTCAAGTTGCAAAGAGATCTCAACAAATTGTAAGAGTGGTCCTAAGAACAGATATCCCCGGTCAACGTAGCAGAATGTGCAGCCATACTCATTGGACACACAAGCATCATCTCCTACAAATTAGAAGGAATAACACTCCAATCATTTCAGACTCATTTATTCTAAGGTTTCATAGTGATTCATGACTTAAAATCTACAGTACATTGTCGCGCGGTGGCTGCATGTAGTTTTAGATCCTTATGGACAATCCGTAGAGTCACCAGAGGCGCTCACCTCCTTATATACATTTCTGGTGAGTTCAAGACTGTACCACTGTATCCAAGCAGCCAATACTTGTCTTAAAGGGGACTTACATATTATTTGAATGGTTCAAAGAGAGGTAACACGTATGATTTATGGCACGACTAATACATCATACGAGGAAAGCCTAAACAGTATAAATCTATTCTTCCCATCATACCGCAGACAGAAAGGAGACTTAATTAAAATATTTTGAACTTTAAATAATGACTATTGACGTGATCAATTGTCTCTCCCCTTCACTGGATCGAAACACCTTTGATTATATCGTAGGAGAGTTTAAAAACCAAGGAGATACTATATTGCTGATTGATTGATTTTCACACCGACTCCCAGAAGAAAAAGTACCAGAGCCCTCAGTTGACCCATTTAGAAAGGGTGTGCACAAACACAGAAATTTACTAGAAAAGGATAAATACAGGTTTCAGGCCTTCTATCCTCAGTCTGCAAATCTGAACATGGAAATTCGTACTTTGGAGGGCCTTATTCAAGTGTTGCGTTACGAAGTGGCATGCTATGAAAGGCGAGAATACGTTTCGCGTATGTTAGATGTATAGCTTATTGCAGATTTAGTTTTTAAAATATAGGGATGAAATCAAGCAAAAGGTTGTTGTTTCATTTAAAAGCAACTTTTGCGAGAGCGACGTAAGTACACTTAACACCATACATTGCTTTTAGGACACTATAGATAGCTACTTTGCATCGGCTGTAGAAAAATGGACGGACAGCAGTGCGGGTGAACAATTCAGTAGGTTTTAGAATGCAAATTATACTTTCCAGTTTCGTTTCGAAGGAGAATCGCCCCATATACTTTGAGTCTAAAGCTGATAATATTCCATCAAGTATGTTGTTCTGGTGTTTTTAATCCTGATAGGATTTGATATGTCAAGAGCTGAAAACTCTTTGGGAGCAGCTTAGTGACAACTGTTTACCGCCTGTTCTAGAGTTAGTTTGTGATATATAATCCTCAATTTTCAGTCTAGTGGCAAACCTAGCTTGTGATACACGAGAAGACTTTTTCTGTTATATCGGCGAGTTCTTACCATTTGTGGTTGATGCCATAACGAGAAATGCAAAAAATGCAGAGTTACTTGGTCACTGTTTTAACTGTTTGGCACACTTGGTGTACTTTTTACATCGTCCTCTAGTTAGGAACTTTCAAAAAGTTTTAAGGTATTTGCCTTGTTTTTCCTTTACTTATATACGTAGATATCTTTTACCGCTACTCTGTCATAATTCCTCACATATTCCAAGGTTCACAGCCGAATGTGTAGCTTTTCTATTCAGGAAATATGATGACAAAGACTGTCTGTTGCGTACGTTAGGGGAAGCGATTGAAAATGCTGAGGTGGTGTTTAATAATAAATAACTCTTATATCTAGTGTCTTGGAGTCGTTTTAACAGAAATACTTTTGGGCGCTGGTGGGAAGGTTCATACTACGTCCTTGGAGGTAACACTTAAATTTCTTAACAGTGTTAGACTCTTCCTTGCTTATTAAACGCATTGTTTAGTTTCGATAATGTGGATAGTCAATTGGCAATTAATTGTGATGCAAAAAAACTTGCTTCACTTTCCAATGGATCTGAACCGTCAAAGTATGTACTGGCTGTAAGTTACTCTCTCGCACAGCTAGTTGAGAGAAGTCCTTCTTCAGAACAACTTGGTTTCGTAATTCGTCATTTGGAAGTTCTTTGTCGACGTCTGTCAGATATGCATAATCCTCAGTATTTTCAGGAGTATCTTTCAGTGTTGACCAGCTTCATCCACTCATTGGCAAAATTTGAGTTTATGTCTTCATTTGAAGAGGAAATTGAGAAGGTATGTTTGTCTTTTTTATTTCAATTATTCGGAATACTTCAATCAAATTTATTGAGCGCAGTACTTCGAAAAAGGAATTCAAACAGTTACTAGGAAGCAATACTAAACCTGTAAGAATGCTTATGTATGGTGTTCAAAGAGGCGTTAGTTATTTCTTATCACCATCGTAAGTAATTAAAGTGGGAAATCCAGAACATTTTATCCATTGGTCTCAATCAAAAATCGTACTTCGTAACTTCTCTAGCTTCTAAATTTTATGAGGTTTCAGGCCGCGTTCAAATATATCTCACCAACAGACACTAAGCCAACACCATTATCCTTCATTTCGTGATACGATGCAGTAAGTTGACTACTCTTTTCGCAACCATTCTTAAAGCTAGCGAACAGTTTGTGTAGCAGTCTGTGAAGTGATATTCACAGCATGTCAAAGCTTAAAATGACATCATTTATTGAACTACGATCTCCACTTTATGTAAGCATACCGTCGGGGTTGTTTAGACGGTGACCTCATCGTACGCGGACAACCTTACGAGGCGGCAGTGATGGAACATAGGAAACAAACTTCTTAAGGTAGAATTCACATAAGTGGAGAGAGATTGCCTGCGCCTTAGTGTTGTAGACTTGGCCTTTCACGTTGCAGTTAACATTTCTGTTTCCAGAGCTCATGGAGATTTACATATGTTCTTCTGGTCCTGTTCTGTGGTTGTAAATCTCAACCGTTATACTTCCTCAGGCGCTCACCTGACTGCATAGATACAGGACCTTTTTGATCACTTATAACTGCTCACCTATGAAAGTGAGTTCGGGTACAGGTTTCGACCAATTCTGCGATTATGATTTATGCTTTTGACTCTTGAGCATTTTAGGTTTCTTATGAACTATGTTGATTGAATCACTGTTAACCCACCGTAGAAAATAGTGTTTCAGAGTAAAGGATAGTGATATTAAACGATAGCTAAACCTTTATTTAAAGTAGTGTTCCGAACGCCCCAAAATATTTGGTTAAGTGTTAATCAACCCATCGTCTACCCCACACATTTTTACTGACATTATGCTTCTTTCCGCCGTGTGGAACAGCTCTCTAAACAAGCTCGTTCTAACCATGCCTAATCATCCTTTGGTAAGCGCTGTCTGATTTTATGTGTAGCAGCATTCTGTGAGAATATACGTAAAATGTTAGGAAGTCTCTAGAAATGTGCAGTAACATAATATTTGTCATCTGGCCATTCTTTTAAGACGCAAGCGACTTAACCTGCTATCCTCATAACGTCTGTGAAATGAAACCAGCATTACTGTATGTTTCTTTGGGAGAATTTAGCTCGGCTCGGTAGTTTGCTTCATTAAAAGTATAATAATTCACTTACTCCAACATGTTCAGAACGGTGTGTACGATTATTAACAAAACTGAAATGAAACATAATGTTTACCAAAGTACGATTAGAATGTAGACAGGTACTTCAAAATAAACAGTCGTGTATGCGCCCACACCAATAGCTGGTTGGTCTGTGGTCTGTTCGTTTCGAGTCTTGAGGAGCGAAGAGAGGATATCAGGTAGCGGAAGAACGACATCTACGCTGATAGCTGGTGCTGTCTAGAAGCAAATTATTATCTACACAGAGCTTCAGAAGTCAGTCCGTGTTGATGGTAGAACTTAGCCTTAGTTGAATTCGGTCAAAAATCTGTTGGTGCTTCATATTACACAACCTTTTCGCCTAACAGTATAAGTATTTAAATGTAACAGTCAAGTAATGCATCTTTGACCCTAGCACTTAGTGCGATTTCTGTACAAGCTAAGCAGTATGCGGATTCCATATAGTCACTGGATAAACTTACATGAAATATATTTCTGAAATGAAAGGTGGAGAAGTCAGGCAAAGTAATTAATCGAAATCCCCTCTGACGGTCTGTGAGATGGAGCGTATGTCGATAATTAGGTTTTCGCGAGTTCGTATCAAACCCGTTTGTTCGACTTGCATCGGTGTCAAAGATTGCAAACATCAAGGCTTATCGACTTAGATGCTAGATATCATACGAAAAGCCAGCTTTCTGAAAGCAACTACTGAATGACTCAAGACGGTACAAATAATTTGAAATGAGCGGCTGGTCAGAGTAAAGGTAAAGGTGAACACCAAGGGAATGATAACGAAGCGGTCCATGTGCGAGGGTAAAGTAATAGTGAGTAATTGAGTGGTTGTGTATCTACATCAAATATTGATAGGTGCAATAGGGTTCAAGAATGCTGGGTGGAGTCGAGCCTTACAATAACTTTTCATCCCATATTTCTTCTGACATCTGATAAAATGTCCAAATCCGCAGTTCAAAGCTAATACTTGTTATAGGAGGCCGCTCCCCGAGCCTTTAACTTGAGGTCTGATACACAAAACAGCAAATAAACATCAGGAGTTACTTCTCAGTGGTTGGTAGTAGCTGAAGCAGGTTTACACAGCATTAGTTTCTCTTAGTTCTTCGAGCGTTTTCAACGTGGAATCATTGTTTTCTATATCCCCTGATTTTAACCACTATGTCCACCTTATTTTTATTTGCCTCACTTCTGTAAGGACATTTCTACTGCCGAATGAAGATGGCGAACAGGACATCTGACAGGAGCTGTGAACCTTTGGTTACATAGAGAGGTACTTCTAGTGGAAGACCAGAGTCCGGTCACTATTGGTCTTACCATCATTTACAGGGGTTATTTTCATAATAAAATCGAAAATTCGACTCTGAGGTATATAATCCAGATCTTCCTGTACTTTCTCGTGAACCTTTCCTTTAAAGTCGAAATACTGCTGCACGGCGCAGGGCAACTACCTAGTGTAGTAAATGGGCGATCTGACTTCTGTTACGTATCTCAACCATCTCAATCAGTGAATCAGTGTGTAGTTTCTCCAGCTGACATTTACTTCAAAATCTGCTTTTTTAGTTCAGTAACAACTATTCCAACATCTATATGGGTTTCTAACAGGAAATTAATAGTCACATGTTTCATCCTTTACTTCCGGATGTTGCGGTTTAAAACTAATGACCTCCAATGAACTGTTTTGTAGTTATGCTTGTTATGCATCTTAATTATAAATGCTTACTTTTCTGACTTTGGATAATAAACCTCACGCCACCTATAAACATACGTGTGCTTTAGTAGTTGTATTTTTATATAGACGATATTCAGAAATATTACAATACCTATATATTACTTGTAGTATTCAGTTGACTGTCTAGATAGTAGAGGGAGACATGACCTAGCAATATGAAATGCGTGCTATACTCAACGATACCACATCACATGTTTGGTTTTGTTACACTGGCAGCTGCAATTGTGTCATTAATAAAGTTATAAATCGTCCTGTAATCTGTCACTCTTTGGAGTTAGTCTGTTATCACTGTATATCCTTTGAAAAACTCTAAGTTACGTTCACTGGTCATGACTGTAGTTAGTTCGTGATATTTAGATAACTTGGTCAGTATATCCATGAAGTGAATTTTTTGTGACATTCAGATTGTCAATCAGTAATTGTTATTGATTTTATCAGAAACAGGGTAATATAATTATTTGCTAATAATTGTTTTGTTCAACTATGGGGCATGGCAAAGACCACAAAAAGGACCAGACAGTAAGAAACAAGTATGAATTAAACCTGACAATTACTACTTTAGAGATTATTTTTTCTATATACTCAAACCTAATCCATTTGAATTTCAGATTCTTACTACTCTGCTAGCCTGCTGTTCATCCCCTAATGTAATGGATTTATGCTGCGTATTTTTGCAACATATATCTGGAAGATATAATCCCTTCGAATTTATCAGATCAGTATGTGGCTACCATTGAATTAACTTGAAACTTTTAGGTGGTTCAAAGTAAAGCTCAGAGCTACGAAAACAAATTTAAATTCCTTAAAAACCTAGCTAACTGGGAATATTTTGATAGGGTAAGTTCAGTACAGATGGTACCATCGTGATTTGAATAAAACAAGCCCTTTCATTATATTATAAATTAAATACACTCTAATATAAAATTAAAAGACAAACTGCCTAACTCAGTAAACCTCATATCACACAAAAAGCGTTTCAACAAGAAGAATCACGTCAAAAAATCTCCCCAACTCAATAAACCAAAACGCCTAATACCCCATCCATAATGACCACACACCCATCAACATACCAAATCAGAACTAAGGATATAGACCACAGAACATAAGAACACAGAAATCCTTCGCATAAAGGTCGAAAAGAGCACGAAAAAGTATCCCATATACCTGCTCATTTAGAACAAATTTAAGAAATTTCCACACGGCCGTAGAATTTAAAACGAACTATTACATTCTGTCGACATAGTAGTATATGTTGAGAGTGTTGTGTATTGGTGTGGTGTGCGTTTCGGTTTGTGTATGTTGGTTGTGCGTGTGGTGGGTGTGATTGAATGAAAGCACACCAAGTCAGCTGAATTCGATGACGTATCGAGGTTAGCAGTGTTACATGTGTGCGAGAGAGACGTGCAATAGTCGACGTTCGGAGTATCCTCCATGTCACATTGCGACATATTTGGTGTTGTTGGTTGTGAGATGTAGAGTGATTGTGTGTGAGATTGTGTGGTTTTTGGTGTGGAATGGTTATTGTTGTTGGTTGTCGTTTATGCGTGTGAGTATGTGTATGTGCGTGTGAGGGTTCAGTGATGTTGTTGTTCGTTGAGTTTATTAGTGGGGTGTGTATTTGTGAGTTTTGTTGTTTAGTTGTGTTGGCGGAGATATGTGAGTTGAGATAGTATTTGTTGTTGTGTGGTAGGTAATTTGTAGGTGGTTTTGTCAGTGGTTTGTTTTGTGTTGTTGATTGAGTGTGCCCACCATGATAAGATCACACGTTGTGTTGGTCTGACGATTGGGCGAAGATTGATTTGCCTTGACAGATCTACGCATGGTCGTGTTGCTTTGACCGTGTGCGTGAACCGTCTTGGTACATGCTGTCGACATAGTAGTATATGTTGAGAGTGTTGTGTATTGGTGTGGTGTGCGTTTCGGTTTGCGTATGTTGGTTGTGCGTGTGGTGGGTGTGATTGAATGAAAGCACACCAAGTCAGCTGCATTCGATGACGTATCGAGGTTAGCAGTGTTACATGTGTGCGAGAGAGACGTGCAATAGTCGACGTTCGGAGTATCCTCCATGTCACATTGCGACATATTTGGTGTTGTTGGTTGTGAGATGTAGAGTGATTGTGTGTGAGATTGTGTGGTTTTTGGTGTGGAATGGTTATTGTTGTTGGTTGTCGTTTATGCGTGTGAGTATGTGTATGTGCGTGTGAGGGTTCAGTGATGTTGTTGTTCGTTGAGTTTATTAGTGGGGTGTGTATTTGTGAGTTTTGTTGTTTAGTTGTGTTGGCGGAGATATGTGAGTTGAGATAGTATTTGTTGTTGTGTGGTAGGTAATTTGTAGGTGGTTTTGTCAGTGGTTTGTTTTGTGTTGTTGATTGAGTGTGCCCACCATGATAAGATCACACGTTGTGTTGGTCTGACGATTGGGCGAAGATTGATTTGCCTTGACAGATCTACGCATGGTCGTGTTGCTTTGACCGTGTGCGTGAACCGTCTTGGTACATGCTGTCGACATAGTAGTAAATGTTGAGAGTGTTGTGTATTGGTGTGGTGTGCGTTTCGGTTTGTGTATGTTGGTTGTGCGTGTGGTGGGTGTGATTGAATGAAAGCACACCAAGTCAGCTGCATTCGATGACGTATCGAGGTTAGCAGTGTTACATGTGTGCGAGAGAGACGTGCAATAGTCGACGTTCGGAGTATCCTCCATGTCACATTGCGACATATTTGGTGTTGTTGGTTGTGAGATGTAGAGTGATTGTGTGTGAGATTGTGTGGTTTTTGGTGTGGAATGGTTATTGTTGTTGGTTGTCGTTTATGCGTGTGAGTATGTGTATGTGCGTGTGAGGGTTCAGTGATGTTGTTGTTCGTTGAGTTTATTAGTGGGGTGTGTATTTGTGAGTTTTGTTGTTTAGTTGTGTTGGCGGAGATATGTGAGTTGAGATAGTATTTGTTGTTGTGTGGTAGGTAATTTGTAGGTGGTTTTGTCAGTGGTTTGTTTTGTGTTGTTGATTGAGTGTGCCCACCATGATAAGATCACACGTTGTGTTGGTCTGACGATTGGGCGAAGATTGATTTGCCTTGACAGATCTACGCATGGTCGTGTTGCTTTGACCGTGTGCGTGAACCGTCTTGGTACATGCTGTCGACATAGTAGTATATGTTGAGAGTGTTGTGTATTGGTGTGGTGTGCGTTTCGGTTTGTGTATGTTGGTTGTGCGTGTGGTGGGTGTGATTGAATGAAAGCACACCAAGTCAGCTGCATTCGATGACGTATCGAGGTTAGCAGTGTTACATGTGTGCGAGAGAGACGTGCAATAGTCGACGTTCGGAGTATCCTCCATGTCACATTGCGACATATTTGGTGTTGTTGGTTGTGAGATGTAGAGTGATTGTGTGTGAGATTGTGTGGTTTTTGGTGTGGAATGGTTATTGTTGTTGGTTGTCGTTTATGCGTGTGAGTATGTGTATGTGCGTGTGAGGGTTCAGTGATGTTGTTGTTCGTTGAGTTTATTAGTGGGGTGTGTATTTGTGAGTTTTGTTGTTTAGTTGTGTTGGCGGAGATATGTGAGTTGAGATAGTATTTGTTGTTGTGTGGTAGGTAATTTGTAGGTGGTTTTGTCAGTGGTTTGTTTTGTGTTGTTGATTGAGTGTGCCCACCATGATAAGATCACACGTTGTGTTGGTCTGACGATTGGGCGAAGATTGATTTGCCTTGACAGATCTACGCATGGTCGTGTTGCTTTGACCGTGTGCGTGAACCGTCTTGGTACATGCTGTCGACATAGTAGTATATGTTGAGAGTGTTGTGTATTGGTGTGGTGTGCGTTTCGGTTTGTGTATGTTGGTTGTGCGTGTGGTGGGTGTGATTGAATGAAAGCACACCAAGTCAGCTGCATTCGATGACGTATCGAGGTTAGCAGTGTTACATGTGTGCGAGAGAGACGTGCAATAGTCGACGTTCGGAGTATCCTCCATGTCACATTGCGACATATTTGGTGTTGTTGGTTGTGAGATGTAGAGTGATTGTGTGTGAGATTGTGTGGTTTTTGGTGTGGAATGGTTATTGTTGTTGGTTGTCGTTTATGCGTGTGAGTATGTGTATGTGCGTGTGAGGGTTCAGTGATGTTGTTGTTCGTTGAGTTTATTAGTGGGGTGTGTATTTGTGAGTTTTGTTGTTTAGTTGTGTTGGCGGAGATATGTGAGTTGAGATAGTATTTGTTGTTGTGTGGTAGGTAATTTGTAGGTGGTTTTGTCAGTGGTTTGTTTTGTGTTGTTGATTGAGTGTGCCCACCATGATAAGATCACACGTTGTGTTGGTCTGACGATTGGGCGAAGATTGATTTGCCTTGACAGATCTACGCATGGTCGTGTTGCTTTGACCGTGTGCGTGAACCGTCTTGGTACATGCTGTCGACATAGTAGTATATGTTGAGAGTGTTGTGTATTGGTGTGGTGTGCGTTTCGGTTTGTGTATGTTGGTTGTGCGTGTGGTGGGTGTGATTGAATGAAAGCACACCAAGTCAGCTGCATTCGATGACGTATCGAGGTTAGCAGTGTTACATGTGTGCGAGAGAGACGTGCAATAGTCGACGTTCGGAGTATCCTCCATGTCACATTGCGACATATTTGGTGTTGTTGGTTGTGAGATGTAGAGTGATTGTGTGTGAGATTGTGTGGTTTTTGGTGTGGAATGGTTATTGTTGTTGGTTGTCGTTTATGCGTGTGAGTATGTGTATGTGCGTGTGAGGGTTCAGTGATGTTGTTGTTCGTTGAGTTTATTAGTGGGGTGTGTATTTGTGAGTTTTGTTGTTTAGTTGTGTTGGCGGAGATATGTGAGTTGAGATAGTATTTGTTGTTGTGTGGTAGGTAATTTGTAGGTGGTTTTGTCAGTGGTTTGTTTTGTGTTGTTGATTGAGTGTGCCCACCATGATAAGATCACACGTTGTGTTGGTCTGACGATTGGGCGAAGATTGATTTGCCTTGACAGATCTACGCATGGTCGTGTTGCTTTGACCGTGTGCGTGAACCGTCTTGGTACATGCTGTCGACATAGTAGTATATGTTGAGAGTGTTGTGTATTGGTGTGGTGTGCGTTTCGGTTTGTGTATGTTGGTTGTGCGTGTGGTGGGTGTGATTGAATGAAAGCACACCAAGTCAGCTGCATTCGATGACGTATCGAGGTTAGCAGTGTTACATGTGTGCGAGAGAGACGTGCAATAGTCGACGTTCGGAGTATCCTCCATGTCACATTGCGACATATTTGGTGTTGTTGGTTGTGAGATGTAGAGTGATTGTGTGTGAGATTGTGTGGTTTTTGGTGTGGAATGGTTATTGTTGTTGGTTGTCGTTTATGCGTGTGAGTATGTGTATGTGCGTGTGAGGGTTCAGTGATGTTGTTGTTCGTTGAGTTTATTAGTGGGGTGTGTATTTGTGAGTTTTGTTGTTTAGTTGTGTTGGCGGAGATATGTGAGTTGAGATAGTATTTGTTGTTGTGTGGTAGGTAATTTGTAGGTGGTTTTGTCAGTGGTTTGTTTTGTGTTGTTGATTGAGTGTGCCCACCATGATAAGATCACACGTTGTGTTGGTCTGACGATTGGGCGAAGATTGATTTGCCTTGACAGATCTACGCATGGTCGTGTTGCTTTGACCGTGTGCGTGAACCGTCTTGGTACATGCTGTCGACATAGTAGTATATGTTGAGAGTGTTGTGTATTGGTGTGGTGTGCGTTTCGGTTTGTGTATGTTGGTTGTGCGTGTGGTGGGTGTGATTGAATGAAAGCACACCAAGTCAGCTGCATTCGATGACGTATCGAGGTTAGCAGTGTTACATGTGTGCGAGAGAG